ATTGGGGAAAGATTGCTATTAATAAATAATTTTTTTAATATTTGTTTGCAATAAAAAGCTTTATAATAATCTCCTGGGCTCTTGATTGCCTTCCTAAATCAGTTCCTTTCAAGTCTGACACAGCTGAAGGATGTGGTCTTGTACAGAAGGAGCACAGTCTTCATCTAAACAAGCTGGTGGGAGGACAGGGAGGCAAAGAGACTGTGCCAGTACTTCTCCCATGGAAAAGCATGCAAATACATTGTTTTATATTGTAATCATTGGTATTATTTCACCTCACTGTCTTAAAATTGTGAGCTATGCTCTTTCTAAAGCTGACCAACAAAAAGCACAAACATGTTAAAGAAATAGATGCGAGAGCAGTGAAAATTCAGTATAAGCTGACTTTATTTCTAGTAATTTTGAAAAGTGAAACAGGTATATTGTGGTTGGAAGTTCTGCACTTGTCTCTGCTGTTCTATCTGTGAATTACTCAGATACTTGTATAGTGTCTTTTCTCCATCCAAGACTGTTATAAGCTTAATTCTTTCCAGTCAGTGCTGCTTGTTGTGTTGCTCTTTGGAGAACACACTTGGGAGATGGATGCTCTACCATGGTGCTGTGCCTGTCCTGGAAATCCAAACCCAGAACTGCAAGCAGCCAGATTAAGACTAGAACAGCCCATTTTGTGTGTCAAGTTTGACCTCCCATGCTGCCCAAGTCAGAAAACACCCCAGTTCAGAAATTTCCTGCCTTCAGGCTATTGCTGGTCTCTGAGCCAGAGCCTGGCAGGTTGGAAACCTCAGCTTTCAGTCCCCTTTGGCAGTTACAAGAAGGCGGCAGGGAAAGAGGCTCTCTCAGGGCTCTCTGCAAACGCTGACATGATTTTAATGAGCAAGTGCATTCCTTGGGCCATGCACAGCTGGGAGCGCAGCAGCGAAACAGGCCAAGATTCCTGTGAGGACCTGTGCCTTTCCAGTAGGTTGAAGTCATGTCTGCCAGTGCATGCTGCCTGCTGACACTTAGAGCATCCTTCAGCAACCTGGGCGGGAGAGAGCCAACCCTGGCACCTTGGTGGCTATGACAGACCCCTCCTGGGACATGAAGTCTATTTATCTTTGCAAACCAGGGTTTCCCCTTTGCCTACACCGGGAGCTGTGGAATTGCTGTGCTACCCCAGCCTCGGGGTGTTTTATGACTCATCTGCTCCTCAGAAAATAAATAAAGTGGAGGGGGAAAAGATACCAGCTGCCTTCTAGAAGGTTGTTAGAAGTGCTTTGCTTTATTGATGCTGCATTACAAATGAGAACTACAAAAGGTGCAGAAAGCATCTGAGTCTTGCCTACTGCAGAATGCACACAAGCGAAATAATCCACGGTACAGCAGTACCTTTCCCAGGTCTTCCCAATGCCACAGAAATCATCAGTGGACAGTACATACTGCGACAAAGAAAACAGGTGTATTTTACAAAAACAACAAACATGGTTCTTCCCTCCATCTACTACAGCTAGGTCCTTCATCTAGAGCAGTGAGGTACATCACTGAAAGACTTTTGAGAGCAGGTACGATTAAAGGGATGAAGCTGCTATGAGATACAGAGGTAGCAGAACCAGTCTGGAGGTTCAGTCCATCCCGATGGGCACTAGTATGACTCACTGAAAGCTAGGTAACAGCTCAGCTGCATTCTGGATTAAAAGAAAAAAAAAAGCTAAGAAATAATGTAAAATGAGGTGACAAAGGGAAAAGTATGTGTTACCTGGTGGTGTTTTTTCCACTTGTGTCTCCCCCTATCCAGACAAAGCCAGCTACACTGATTTACATACCTTGCAAACACTGTGGCCATTTCTGTACAGCAAATTGGACCTTCCCTCTTTCCCGGTATCCCTGTGTTTATCACCTGAGAAAATACCCTCCAAAGAGATGCTTTATGCAAAAAAATTTGCCCTTTGCTGCCTGCAAAGTTACATGATAATGGTGAGACTCAGGGGCCAGAGCTGGTGCTGGACTAGGATGTGGCATCAACTTTCCCAGCTGTTCCTGGGTCTCTAGGAAGCATTTAGGACTTCTCTGCTGAAACCATCCTTTTCCTCCCCACCCTCTTGCATGTCAGCAGAGCAGTGGGTGGAGTCCCTGGACCAGCTGGGCTGGTCATGGAGATGTGTTGGGAGCCCAGATCTGCCAGTTTTCCTTCCCCAGGGATCACTGCCTGTTGCTGCTGCAGCCTCCCATGCTTCTGAAATCCAACAGCTAACCACTTGGAACTATACCTGTGTATAAAGGCATCAGTACAAAAATCAGAGTCAATTCTGCCCATCCACCAGAGGAAACATGGCATCTTTGGTTTGTTCTCAAGCCTGCAGTCTGAGATTTCCAAGCTAAGCCCATGATTTGTCTGCCAACCTGCAAAGAGGCTTTGCAGGCAACAAGAGACATTTGAGACAAAGCAAAGGTCCAGTTTCATCCAGACTCCCACCCTCTGGCCAGGATCATGCTCAGAGGCAGCTTGTGTCTCTCCTTGCAAGTAAAGGCAGTCCTGGACAAACCAAAAGGTAAGTCGGCACATTTTGAAGAGTTTCTTGATTTATGTCCTAAAAAATGAGCTGTTCAGGTCTGGCCCCGTGGTGGCCTCTGACAGGATAAGGCAGAAAAGAAGGTTTAAGAATAGCCATGCTTGGAAGCATCATCCTCATGGTGCTTCCAGCATTGCTGTATTGCTCCCTGGGGGATGCAGGCAAGAGATTTGGTTGAAGTTTTTCTTGCTTTTTAATTGTCTCTAAATGCCCCCATGATGGCAGCTTACACAGCTAAGAACAGAAAAGAACCAAAGCTCCCAAAGGCAAAATTTCCAGCAGTGACAACCAGAAGCCACAGTGAAGTCAGTCTTCACCCTTCATAGGGACATATTTTAATGCAAAGAAAACCAAAGGTCTGTGGCAAGTCTTGGGACAGGGACAGGAAGGCAGACACATTCTTTTTCGACCTGCAATAAAGAACATGTTCAGAGGAAACAGCCAGCCCTGCATCTGTACAAACCCCCTCCTGACCAACCACAAAAATCCCAAGAGAAAAAACTTTGTGTGAAAAAATAATTATTTTTTTTTGCTTGTCGCAAAATTTTAAAAGAAACTGTATTAGAACATGTATTTTTAAAGGCCTAAATCAGCAATGCCACTTTGAGGTGGAAAATCTTTTCCAGCCCAAGTCATCTGGGGCAGGAGGCTGGGCTTGGTGAGGTCCTTACCCCACAGCAAGACAAAGGTCTTTGCCATACCAGTGGAGCTGCACAGATTTGTGAGAGTAGGGATGCTTAGGCACTGTTTTAACTCCAGTTGCTCTACTGCCAAATTGGAACTGCAGTATTTTACCTCCCATTTACAGTGATGCATGATGGTAATATGCGATGAAAAGCAGTTATTTGGTATTCCGAAAAACTTAAGAGAAGTTTTTTTCTACCCTGAGAAACCACACAAGCAATACCTATTAGGAAACCTACCCTAAATAAGACATTTTTTTCTCCTTTTTGCACTCTCAGTTCCCATCCAGCTCTCAAGTCTCTGGGAACAGCCCAAACTGGTGGAAGCTGAGCAAGTCACAACAGCTGCTAGGAAACATCCCCAAATCTGGTCAAGAATCACTGGGCATATATTTACCTTGGTGGTTTCAGGGGGTATCTGCCACAAGATTGAGGTTTCATGGTTGTGTTTAAGGGCACTTTACCCTCTCTTGCAGTTTTTTGAGCTCCAAAAGAGGAGCTGCAATGCACTCTGTTTCTCCACAAGGAGGGTGCTTGGTGTGGCCTTCTTCCCACCCAACTCTCACCCCAGGAGCAAAAATAAATGAAAAGTAAAAGTCAGGCTTCATATTCTGGATGGATATTTATTTGCTTAACAGATTTTCTTCTTTTTTTTTTTTTTAATTTTTTCTTTTTTGGTACAAAGCATCCAGGAAAGCTTTTACTTCTCTTTTTAAAAAATAAAAACTAAGTTTCTTTTAAAAAAAGACACATGAAAAGGAAAAAAAAATTGCAATTGCTCTGTTTAAATTTTGCCTTCCCACCCCACCCACTTCCCTTCCCCCCCCTTTCTTAATTTGGACTGATTTTCATTTTTTTTCCATATATATTTAATAAAATAAATAAAGGATTTTCTTTGTTGTGTATTGCAGTGCCATTTTTTTTAAACAAAGGCTTCATGGCTCAACATTGCAAGGTAATAACAAACAAAAGGATTATACATTAAAATCCTCCCCCTCTCAAAACTCCCCCTAGCCCTCCCCTCCAAACCACGAAATAGAATACAATTCAAGTAGTCTTTTTTTATGTTTTAAATGTATGGATATATAAGACAAAGCAAGTACAGAACTGGTTAACAGTGTCCCCATTTTATTAGCAAGTGAGAGTATATCAGGGAGATGTAATTGATTCCCCCCTTTTTACGGTTCCTAGACAGATAATATATATTACTTTAAACCCAACCTATTTTACAGCCCTCTGCCCACCTCTCAAACCCATACACTCACTGAGTCCCGAGCCTCAAGCCTCAAGCCAGAGACTTGCCTTTCCCCCCCATCCCAAGCAGCGGTCCCAGCCCTGCAGCCATCCTGGTGCAGCCCCGCTCCTGCACAGCCCCTGGGAGGGGAGCGAGAGGAGGAGGGCGGGAGGCGTGGGGCAGGGAGAGGAGGGTCCGGCGAGAAGGACGCAAAGGGCAAGAGAAGGAAAAGGAGATGGCAGGGCGCGGAACTGCTGCTGCTTCTGCAGGGGCCTGGTGCTGAGGGCTGCCCGCCTGCCCACTCGAGCTGGAGCATCGGTGCACAAGCAAGCTGTGAGGGTGGGGAAGAAGCGGTAAGTTCCCTGTGGCTCAGGAAGCCAAGCTCTGCCAAGGGTCCGTGCAGAAGCAGGGCCTTGAGTTGTAACTGGCAACACCTTCACCATTCAAAATAGTTTGTCTCTAGAACAGTTCCCTTTTAGTTCTAAATTGCGGTGGTTTTGTTGTTTTGTTTTGTTGTTGGTTTTGTGTTTTTTTAAAAAAAGGATGCGTGTTGATGTATTTCTGTGTGTGCGTGCATCTGTGTACATGAGTAACAGCCAACTAGCTCATATGGTCATGACCAAGCTATATTTCAGAAGAGAAAAGAAACACATTTATCACACTTTTCCTAAAACGAAAAGCTAAAATTTCAAGTTCAGTATTCGCTATCTTGTCTTCCCTCCCCACCCTCCCTTGCTATTTCTGGGTTTTTTCCCTTCCAACTTACTTTAGCACCATAACACATTTTAAACATTACAATCCCTCTTCAGATACTACACAAAATGTCCCATAAAAATAGTGCTTTTTTTGCCAAAAAAGTTATATAATATATTATATATATAAATCAACTAAATCCGTGGCAAATGTGCAATGCAGACGCCTTCTCCATTTAAAGTGAGCATCAGCTCACTTTTTTCTTTTTTTTCTTCTTTCCCCTTTCCTTTTCCTTCTCTCTTTCTCGCTTTCTCTCTCCTCTTCCTCTCTTTCTCACATCATCGGTGATTTCAAAAAGGTGCAAGTCGATTTGGAATCTTGTAATGAAGCACACACACAAAAACGCAGATGGGGGCTCCTCGGAACTTCTTCTCAGGTACATTTTTTTGTTTAAAGGTGCAAAAGAAAGTTATAAAAATAAGAAAACCAAAAGAGAAAAAAAGAAACAAAAAGAAGAAAAAAGTGGGGTGGGAATGAGGCAAAAAAATTTTATCCCTCAATATTTCTCCCCATTTTATTGTTTTTTCACTTTATTGTCAAGAAAGACATGGAATGGACTCTTCACGAGAAAAAAAGGTTAAAAAAAATTTTAACTTCATATCCTTTTTCCCTCTTGCTCTTTCTTTTGTCTTCTGGTGTTGGCACCGGGGATGTCACGCAGCACCCGGCAGCAAAAAGTTCAAGTGCCAAACTGTCCCTTTGCAAGTACAGGCTTGGAAATACTGGGGGAACGGGGGAATGAAACAGGTGTGGGAAACGAAACAACCCTCCCCCCCACCCCAAAAGGACGATGCCGTGGGAGCGGTGCTGCTCGCCACCGCCGCTGCTGCCACCATCCCCTCCTTGCTGTGTCAGTTGTTTGGTTGGGGCCAGAGCGGCGTGAGGGTGCCCCGCCGCCCGCTCCTTGGCTCAGCGGCCCCGGGGACGGAGGGGCTTGGGGGTCGGGAATCACCAGTCCTCCCGCCCTCCCCCAGGAGATCAAAAATCGAGACAGCTGGTCAGGGTTCATTTCTGGGGGCCAGCCGTTTCCGGGGAGGCTCGCACCGCTGGAGGCCTCTGGCTGGGCAGGGAGATGAGGGGACGATGCAGCGCTTTGGCTTCCTCAGCCGCTTGCAGCCCCTCAGCCTGCCACCGGTACTGGCGAGCCCGCAGGATGCTGGGCACTTCCCGCTGCAGCCGCTGGGAGCTCTTCTTCTGCCACACATCATACTTGGAGTATTTGGCGTGCGAGGGCTTCTGGAAGCTCTCCTGCAAGGAGAGGGAGAGCAATATTAGCCTCTGCTTAAGCCTGCTTGCACTCCAGAGGGTGGTTCCCCTCTTGGACTTCCATCCATCCCATGGAAACATTGCCCCATCCCAGGAAACAGTAACAGTCAGGTTGGACGGGGCTCTGAGCAACTTGATCTAGTTGAAGATGTCACTGCTTATTGCAGGGCAGTTGCACTAGATGACCTTTAAAGGTCACTTCCAACCCAAACCATTCTATGACTGTGACCTAGCCCACCTCTGGTCCCCCACTTTAATAAAAGCTGCCTTTTGGCAGGCTATTTGGCATGACTTGCTAATGGTGACTGTCTCTCAAAGGCTCTGCAGAAGCAACAAATCTTGCAGCTGGGGTTTGTCCTCTCCCACCCACGGCCTTCCAATCTTTTGTCTCACTATTTATTTCAGAGAAATGCCATCATCCCGGCACAGCCTCCCTACCTTGCCGAGGGCTGGCAGGCCTGACAGGGAGGTGGCGGAGAGGTCACGCTCCGACTTGACGGACTTGGCGCAGTATGTCTCCAGCAGAGCCAGGTCACAGCTCCGAAAGCAGCACTCCTCCACAATCCCCCGATTGATCCGCCGGTTATTTCGTCCCACCGGTCTACCTGCAACAGCAGAGACCCTTGCGTTATCCACCAACCTGGACAGGACCCTCTCCCTACCTCCATAGCACCTATCCCCTTGCAAGCATCCCTCTACCAGCCACCAGAGACTGGTGGGTTCTACGTGCTTCAAAAATAGCAGCGCTTCTCCCAAACCAGCTGACACGCACCCGCAAACCAGCCAAGTTTCATGCTAAGACTTTCCCAGACAAATGTTATTGATGCCAACAGGCTCTCCCTGTGCCTCCAGTTGTAGTTTAAAGGCACTTTGAATGATGGGGATTTATCTCCCTCCTATATCTCTGGCATGGGTGGACTTTTTGAGTGCAGCTAAGGCAAGGAAGCTCAAGCCCAGCCTGACCGCCAGCTCTGTGCTGATTACTGTGACTGTCTCAGATGTTGATCCTGGCAAGCAGATTTCATTAGAAAGAAGCAGCACAGCATTGCAGCTGCCAACCTCCCTCTGTCGGGTCAACACTCAGGCAGGTGAAGCGAACCAAGGCGGCTAAATTTTACCAGATGGGACAGCTCTGAGACAGCTGCAGAAAGAATACAGGCTCCCACACCCGCCAAGAATAGCTATTAAACTTAATCTTTTAATAAGGGTTCCTCTCCCATTTCTGCCTGCAGAAGGATGCAAAAGTCCATGTCTGGTGCAGCAATGACCAAGTGCATTTCATGTAGCTGCTTAACGATGACCAAAGCACTCCAAAGGAAAAGCTTACATCACTTCTACTGTTTCCTCCCTCTCTTGAAATAAAAGAGATGCGTAAATTTGAATTTCTGATGAAAAGTAAATTTGCTTGGGAATTGTGACTTCCAAAATGTAAACTGGCCCAAAACAAAAGGATTTTCTCTATGTTTTTGCACACAGCATATTGTGCTTTTGTGCTGTTCTAGAGTTTGCAGCCAGGGTTCTACATACTGCCTCTTCCCAGTGCAAGGTGCTCCGAGCGAGGGAAGCAGAGGCGAGCACCAGTGGGGCTTGGAAACCAGGAGAATTTAAGCATGGGAAAAACTGAGAGCAAGTTGTGTAAGTGCAATGCCTATCAGTGCTCACCAAGCCATGCCAAGCCTCCACACCTCAGCTGGCCTGCAGGAACACACAAAATGGTCCATGTTGGCCCTGTGCATGACCCATGATGCCCCCTCTTGCACTCCAGAGGAAGCAGGCATTCAAGTATTAAGCCTCGGTGAAGATTTAAGGATCCTGGCTTAGAAGGAGCTGACCACTTTCCCTGGGGCATACCCCACCCTGGGTGCCCACCCAAAGTGCCTTGGGACAAAGTGCAAAGCACAGGAATTATCTATGTACACTGTGCAACCCCACATGTGAGAAGCAGCCCAAGATGTGCAATGCAGACATGCATGTGGGATGCAGCCCTGTCCATTCAATGCAGCCCCGTGCATATTCAATGCAGACATGCATATTCAACACAACCCTCCATGCACAACGCAGCCCCATGTGTGCAATGCTCACATGCAAAACCCCACGACCATGCCTCATTGCTGGCTCTGGAAAAGCCCTGGCAGCAGGGCACCCACTCTGCTAAAATTGGTTGTGACCCCATATCATGGAGCCCTCTGCTCTATGCTGGTGCATTGCCACCATGCTCAGAGGTCACAATAACAAACACGGCATCAGGGTGATGGGGCAGCTGACTCATACCATGAGACCCACCTTTGGGAGTCATTTTAAACGTTCTATTTTCCACATTTGTCCCCCCTGTGCCACCACCTTTCTTTTTTCTTTTTCTCCAGAAAAATTTCACGGACAACCTTAAACCAGCCCCACAGGAAGGTGAGAAGGATGGTTCACTCTTAGTAAAGGTTCAGCAAAGAGAACACTGTTAGGAGTTTAATTTTCTCTATGTAAATACTTGTGTCCAAAAAGCACACTGGACTGAGACCTCCCTTTAGAGGCAGGGCAGGTGTGCTGGGTGCCCGCAGCTGCACAAGCAATGCCAGTGTAGGCCACCTGGGTGGTGATGCCCAAAGAAGACAGGGGAGAGGAGCCAGCGTGGGGCCAGCTGCATTCTCCTCTATGCATGCAATGCCCAGTGAGGTCCATGGAAGAGGTGCGCTGCACCAACACCCTGCACTGCTTACGGCCCCTGCTCAGCACCCATCAATCCCAGTGCCCAACTTGCAGGCATGGCAGGCTGCTGAAGCATTGGGCTGCTCCAGAAAGGCATCCTGAGCACGGGCAAAAGGAGAGTTTGGAAGGGAAAGAGAAAAAAATTCAAGTCACCCCCCCTTGCTAGCACGTCCCCAGAGGGCTGCATTCACACTCCCGCTGAACAGAAGGTTGCACAAGTGATGACACACACGGTTTGAGGAGAAGTTGAGGTTTTGAAAGGTTACATGTCTCCTCTCAAACACAGAAGTTTCCCACTTGCAGCTATGTGTTTGTTTGGAAAGAAGAGGGGAGGAAAAAAACAATAAGGAAAGCGGGACTATATTCACCACCATGCCACCCAGGGCAATTTGTGGCATGGGTATGCATGAGAAGATCATGTCACCATGTGTTAGCAAATGCCCAGGTGTGGCACCATCGATGGTGAGCTCCCAGCAGGGACCAATCGCAGTGCTATGGCCTTTTCCTCCCTGACCACTGCCCCTGCCCAGCCAGTGGGCACACGTGTGGCCCCCAGCCCCAAATGTGCTGCCCTTTCTCTCTTCCATAAAGCTGCTGCATGCCCTTCCCCTTGCTGGCACCACTACCAGCTCCACCACGACTGTCCAATAGGACACATCTCTCCTTACATAATTGTCCATACGGATCTTGCCAAATGCCAATACAATCCTCTGTGGGAGAGTTATTTAGGAAAAAAAATAAGCAAACATAGCAAACAAGGATTTAGTCACAGAAAGTACCTGGAGACAACAACCCAGGGAAGAAACACCAGGACATTGCTGGCTAACAGCAATATCGCTGCTGACCTGGATTGGGAAAAGTGTTTGTTCCGTAACAATTTACACAGGGACTAAAGGTTGAATTTCCTGGCTTTTGCTCATGGGTGGCATCTCACTTTACTGCCACTGCCAAACCCAAGGAAGGTTTTGCCACTCTGTCTCTTACCCGCAGGGGAGAATTGTGTGGGCAGCGGGCTGCAGCACCGCTCGGGCACGCGAGCCACTTCCCATCGCAGCAATGACCACTTCCTCCCGAGGAAACATGCTTCCTCTGGGCCTTCAATGAATGGCTAGGCTCTTTTTCCCAAAACTGTGCTTCACCAAAACTTCTACAGCACTGCTGAGGGTATGAGCCCAGAGATGCAAAGTTCAGTGATGCAAAACCCGATGGTGCAAAGCCCTTCTGTTGCCTGGGGTTATTGCAGCCTAGCAGTGGGCTATCCCGACAGGGAGAGCTGGGCATCCCAGAAAAAGTACAAAGCCAAACCCAGAGAGACCACATACCTGCAGCTCAGCTGTGCCACTGTACCAGAGGCAGTGAAACTGCCATGGCCACCGTGGACAGGAGGGTCCCTTCCCTAGCATCAACACCCCACTGCTCTGGGCTCCTCACTCTCACCAGGGCCGGACAGATGCTGTGGGGAGGGGTGCACTGTGCTGGTGCCACCCTGGCTGGGTCCTCTTTCCTCCGGTCAATCAGGCGGTCAGCCGAGTGGAAGGGGACTTTGGGTGTAAACAGTCCCCGTGCCCCTGTCGCAGGAATGTTGGGAGCAACAAGGGGGCCTTTGTGCAGCACCGGGCCCCGTCCCAGTGCCCCCAGCCTGGCCCTCCCCCACCCCGGCACCACACTTTCCCCCCTGCTTTTTCCTAGTATTATTCGGAGGAGCGGCGGGTGCGCAAGAATGTGCTCCGTCAGCACAAGCGGCTGCAAAGAGCTAAATTCTTATCAGCTGTTGGAAAGGAGGAAACAGGAGCTGTTGTTTACAGAGAAGTCGGCCGCCTCTCCCCCTACAGCCCCTTCTCCCTCCCTGCTAGCGCTGCATGACAGCAACTTCACGGCCGAGGCTTCCTCTCAACCTACTCTGCATTTTCACTCTGGGCTGCACTCAGAATTCCTCCATGGGCTGTGCCGCTGTCCCTGGGCGGGTGCTGGGGAGCAGGGACAGCGGTTCCAACCCTGCCACAGAGCCACGGCAGGAAGCCACCACCTTGACAGCAGCTGCAGGCCAACCCAAAAGCCTTAAAAGTCACTGAGATGAGGCATCGCTAGAGGAAAACAAAGTGTGCTGGCTCCTACCCCTGTTAGTGCAGCTCTTTTGCAGCCCCAACTCTTGGAGGCAGCTTCAACATCCTCAGCCTCAAGCACCTGCACACCACAATGCTTCCCAGGGCACCTGGGGGCTGGGACTCACTCCTCATGCCAGTGGACAGGCATTCCAGTTATCAGGGGTGCACCCTGCTCAGTCTAGGTTGCATATTTCCCCAGCACCAGATGCCTGGGGGATGAAACACCGTCAGTACACTGCATCCCCTTGCATCCGTGCAAAGAGTGTTGTATTTCAGAGCTAGCTTTGCTAGCAAAGTGCTCACTTTTAAGAATGCAGAACATCAGAAGTACTTAAATAAGTGCTGCAGCAAAAAAAAAAAATGTATTTTCATACCATTTTTTGATTTTTTCCAACGTTAGCAGTCAGATGCTTCAACAACCCTTGTTCAGCAAGCAGGATCCTTGCATACCCATGGGACAAGGCTGCCCAAGTCATTTACTTCCCATATGAATGACTGCATTAGCACAGGTTGCTCATCAGGTCATACATCCCATATTGTGAGGTGCTCAACTTCAAGACATAAACCCCACAATTGTGCAACATAACTGTGCCCTATCGCGTCTACATAGTGACACGTGGGTTTAGGACTGAAGATGAATGTGATCAGGAGAATTAATCACTTATAAGGCCAACTGATGGAGGTAGAAGGTGAAAAATTAAATGAAAAGGGGATGTACAAAACCCTTCTTCAAGTAGAGGTATTGCCCAAACGTCTTCAGCCCTGCATGGCACAAGCTGGTCAGTTGCTGAAGGGGTTAAAATATTGGACTGGGGGAACTTTGCTTTATCCCCAGCACCTGGGCTCTCTAGAAATATTCATAAAGGTGAATGGGGGAGAGACAGGAGAGGACAAAAAAAAAAGCAAGAATCCCCTTGCAAGCACCAGAATGGTCACTTGGCACCAAGAGACTTGTCTCCCTTCAAAAGTGGTTTTATTTTGGCCTGGGCAGCTGGGTTATTTGAGGTGAAAGGAGGTCAGTTTGACCGTAAAACAAAAGCCCCGTTCCCTTTCATCCCCAGAGAGGGGGAGGAGGAAAGAGAAACCATGGGAGGAAGACGGGTGCTCCTCTATATCTAGAGGGAGAGGAAGAGCTAAGAGAACGGGAGAGGAGTTTGCCTCCTTGCTGTGCCGGTAAGGCCAGACCCAGACCTGCCACCCTGGCTGAGTGCCGGCACAGGGCCCATTGGCAGAGGAAAGGCGGAAGAGGAAGAGCAGCTGACATGCAAACCCTCACTGCTTGGATCAGTCACAAGAGGGAAATGCATCCAGAGCACCCCAAATGTGCTGCCTGCCCACAATAGCTAGGGAGCCATGAAAACACCTTGCTGCTTGCCGTGATGGGGCAGGGTGATTGCCCCAGCTAGTTCCAAAGCCATCTGCAGCCCAACCACCTGCCAGGAATTACACAGCCTGAACCCCGCTGTGGCTGGGTGTGGGATCCCTGCACCTCTCCCTGCCCAACCTCAGCAAGCAGCACCAGTCAAGTCTGGCAAAGCACCCAGGTTGCAAAGGGATATCCAGAGTCATCTTCCAACTTTGCGGCAACCTGTTCCCTGCATAGGCAGACTGGAATAAGAGAGAGGCTGGCTCTCAACTCCAGTACTTAAAAAAAACCACCCCATTACTTGAAAGTGACTTTTTAACATCTTTTCACAAGGCAGAGGCAAGACTGTCAAATACATGGCACCATGTGCAGCTGGTATCTCCATCCTCTTCCCCCCATTTGGCTTTGCATCTTTCTTGTAGTCAGTTAGTCTGTGGTTCAGTCCTCCGTGGGGAGCAAAACACAGGGTCTTCCCTCTCCCAAGCAGAGCAGAGGACTGAAACACCAAAACGAGGTATCACACTCGAGGTACCTTTGCCCATAGATCACTCAGCATCCATTGCTACTGGTTTACTCCTCATCCTTCCTGTTTACCAGCTAAGCCATTGTACTGCTAATGCCAATGGTCCAAACACCCAAAGCATCCTGGTGGAAAGCCTGCTGCAGCCAACTGGCCTGAAGCCATCTGCACTCTGCAAACAGCAATGCTGCGATTCTTTTTTTTTCTGCACTAGCTACACTGCAAAAGGATAAGACATCACTCTTCAGCAACAAGTTTACCATCAGGTAGCTAGGAGGTCATGAAGTGTGTTTTGGGAGCAGCATAGAAGGTGCTGCTATACCAAAGCAAAGCCTGCCCAGGAATGAGTGCTCAGCTCCCTGCCTGCTGTCAGATGCAGCACTTAGGCAGCAACGTTTCAGAATAAGCCAGGACCCAAGCTCAGCAGAGAGTTGGCTGCAGACATCCTCGCTATTGTAATGACTTGCCCACATCACTGGTGAGCCAGCCACATAAGGTTCCCCAGTGATATTCAACTTCCCCGAGCATCATATGTGGGACCCAGTTTCCCCATGGTACAAGACAGTGCCCAAAATTGACATGAAGTGAGTTTATGCCACCCTGAACATGTCCATTTTCTTGCTCTTCTCCTGGCCTACTTCCACATACAAGGAAATCATGAAAAGCACCAGGCTGGGAAACCCCTCCTTTCCCTCCCGGCCTGGCTCCACTGAAGCAGGGTGTGGGGTGGGGGCAGCATCCTTCCTGCTGTTGGCAGCTGCCCAGCACTTACTGAAATAGAAGCCCCTGTCCCCGCAGACGAACTGCAGTGTGTCCACCAGCTCCCCGCCACAGAGGGTCTCCGCCGTGCCGTACGCAGCCGCTGAATCCAGTGCGTAGGCCAGGAAAGCCAGCAGCAGCAGCAGCATCCGCCTCGCCGCACACATCCTCTGCACCTGAGGACAGAGGCACAGCATTAACATCGCGAGAGAGACCCCTCTCCTCCACCTCCCCCAGGCAATGCCCCCTGCCCACAGCATGCTGGGGGTTTGATGTCCGGACATGTTGAGATGCTGCAGGAAAGGATCGGCAGCGCTGCGACAGCCGCTGGTGCGAGGCCGGCTCCCAGCACTCGGCCTGCCGGGCAGCCACTCAGTCAAACAAGGTTTGCATTGAAGTAGTTTTTCCATTGGAAAATCCCACTTCAACCTACATCTAAAAGGCTTTTATTCCCTCTGCTCTTTCAACAGTGTGATTTTTTTTATTTTTTCCCCCCTTTACATGGGAATTCATTCAAATTATTATCAGTAGGGGTTTTTTTTCCCTCTCCTGGTGACAGGTTTTCATGCCATACCTGAAAACATGTCCCCCCAAAGCAGAAACAAGTGAAGTTTCAACCTGTCCTAGAGCTGTTTTTGAGGAAATCTGGGAATAACAGCCTTTGTCCTGGGCATGTGAAGCTCAGACAATCGAGGGGCTGATTGCACAAGCCATGTTTGCTGAAGAGAGTTGGGACTGAGAAGACATCCCTCAGGAACAACGCAGTACCATGGGAAACACACTTGCAGCATCACCAAGGAGGACCAAGGCAGTATCAGACAGTGCAGAGCACTAAAAAAGAAACTCCCTGGATATTTGCTAACTAGCCCAAAGATTTCCCCTGGCTCCACTCCAGCAACCAGCTTTACCTCTGTGTCACCTTCTGTAAGTGTAAAACAAGGCTGTTATTGCCCCACTGGATGGGACAAAACCCGTGGATGGTTGAAGGTAATATAGTCCCTCAATGATGAGCCTCACGGTATACATACAGCCAAATAACACTGGTGACCAGACAGGTCAGCTGAAAATGAAGAGGAGAAGTGTGTCAAAATAGCAGACGGTGTGTGGCAACCCTAATCTCAAGCAGAGCATCCCCTCTCTTTGCTAACATTCAACCAAGATGCTGGGTTTCACATCCAGCTATCACCATAGCATCTGAGCAACTCGAGAATAACATCAGTTAATGAATATTACCTCACCCTCCCGGGATGCTCGGAGATGGAGCTGAAGCCCAGGATAGATTAAATGACTCGCCCAAGGTCACAGGGGAAGTCTGCAGCGCAGCCAGGAAATTAGCCCAGCTCCCCCGAGGCCCCGCTACGGTCCTGCCAGCAATAAAGACACCCTTGCTACCGAATTTTTACTAGCACATAGCTCAAATCCTTGCTGCTAGAAATGCATCATGATTGCAAGTCGCAGGCTCTACTGAGCAGTGGGAGGACAGGGACCAGCAGCAAGAAAAGCCAAGAAGTTGCAAGATCTGGATGGGCTGTGGGGGGCATCCACCCTGCTTGAACGTTGATGCCCATAGTATTGCTCAGCCTGTGCTGGCAGAGACCATCAAGGCTGACAAAAGTCCTCCTGGGCTCTCAACAAGAGAGGCAGCAGCCCTGGGCACAAACTGGTCTCAAACCAGCAAGTGATGAGAACCAGGACGAGCTTTTCCAGTAGCAATGATCCCTTTGGCATACTGCAGGGGCTTTGTTCTGTATTAAAGTAGGAGCGGAGGGACAGCACTAGGCTGTGACACCATGCTGCCAATCTGCAATGTTTTGCCACCAATACCTTTTCACCTTGATTTTTTTTTATCCAGTGGCCAACAGGTATTTACTGGGCCTCCCCGACATGACCACAGCATCACCTTCACTGCTGAAGTCACGCCTCTGGTGCAGCAACATCGTCAGCCAGATCTCCAACTGACAAAAGACCAATGATCCTGCTCCCTTCCCTTTTTCCCCCCCCCTTTTCCTCTTCTTTTACATGCATCTCCTGTTTGCTGGTGTCCCCAGGGCTTGGGTAGTGCCAGCAGCTCATTGCCAGGGTGACAGATGTGTGACAGCCAGTACTGCCATTGAAGGCACTGATGTGGGACTTCAGGACACCTACATAATCCCCCATCCCCAATTAGGCTAACGCTGGCTAATGAGCAGGCCAAGCCAAAGCCAACCCCCCCAAGAAGGGGCTGCTTAGTGGCACAGGTGACAAACCCTGTTTTTTCTCCACATTCAGTCTAAAGGAAGGGGTGAGGTGCTCTGAAAAGCAAAGGGAGAGCGAGATTTTGTCAGCGGGGCGATATCTGACGCTGGGGAGACCTGATACCTTCTGTGGAAAAACACTCATGCTCCTCGGAAAATACCCGCTCCTGCGCAACCCGCACCACAAGCATAAGGCAGCCCCTGGCAGTTTTCCCTGCCTCCACCGCAAGCTCTTTTTGGGTGGCCACACACCCCATAACTCCATCCAGGAAATGCCCCTGAAGCCGCTAGGACAGAGACAACCCCAGTGCTGTCATCCAGATCACGGCTAACCTGGAGGTGTGAAATGAGATGAAGTCCACCTTTGCCCATGCACCAACTGCCAGCCCTTTCCACTGCCATCACCTTGGCATCTCCCTACTCCCTCCAGCAGCTGTGTAATGAGAAACCAGGCAGCAAAGCAAAAAGCATCTTTATTTACTACCCAGTGCTGCAGTTTCTCTCCAGTTTGATGGAGCCACAACCCAACCCAACCCTGTAAGCTCTTCCCTCTCACTTTAGCCCTACTAACTCTGCTGAGGAAAAGTCCCCACAAAGGCTAGACAGGCTCTCAGAGTGCCATCACCAGCTCATGTCCCAGTGACCTTTCAGTTGATCCTTCCCGCCCTCACATGCCTCCCCTAGCAGGAATGAGCAGCACCCAGGCAGGAGAGCTCAAACCTGCCTCGCCATGGCTGCTGGAGCAGGTGCTACTCCCCCAAAGAGGGTGCCATGGCACAGCTGGGTACCTGCAGCCCATGACCAGCTGCACAGGTTGCATGGGGCCTCAGTTTTCATGGCCAAATCCTGCTCAATATGATGAGTCGAAGCCCTCTGAACACCTCCAAGACTTCATTCTCCACTGAAAACTTGGGACAGCAGAGCTTTTGGTTTCTGGTCCAAGCGTTAGGACAGGCACAGTCTCCCCAGCTGTGGGACAGGAGTAAATTCACAACAATGGCTGAAAATACCTTCAGATTTTATTAGAAAGCCTCTCTTACATGACATGGAACAGGAACAAGGCATAGAGAGGGAAGTGGGTCACCTCCCTAAAGAACAAGGTCCTGTCTCCACTAGGAGAGAGACTACAGCCACCACAGTTCCCTTCTTGCCAGGGCAGGTTGAACCAACCATGCTGGCTTGCTGTTCCTCCTCATGTGCCCAGGGAGAGCTCAAAGGCTTCAGGATGTAACAGGAATAGCAGTGCTAGGCATGCTGGATGCTCAATAACCTGAGCACCAAATTCCTTCTAACGAGGGCTTGGACTCCATATAGTGTGCAAGAGGGTGATGCAAGAGGAATTTTTTGGTTGCACAGATACCCTGTGTACCATCCTAGGAATCACGTCTGAAGTTCCTCTGAATGACCTGCATCTGAGAGCAGCATGTTCAGCGCAGAAGAAGCTCAGACAGGACATCAGCACACACTGATGGTCTCTCTTTCCCAGAGAGGGTCTGCTTTGCTCTCCATCTTCATGTTGCTCTCCTGCATTCCTCTGCATTCCCAGGACCCTACACAAGGCCAGGCTGCCACTAGAAACAGCTTAGCCATGAGTTGCCATATGCAGGATGCTGCCGCCACCTTGGAACTCCTGTGTATTCCTGCCTCACTGCTGTACCCATCCAGCAGAGAGGTCCAACAGAGAGCGTCTTCTACAAGTGGCCGTGGTGTGCCAGGAGCGAGACTGAGGGCAGGTCTGCAGTGGAATAGCCCTCCCACCTGAGACCATTATAAGATATTTCAGGATCTGCTCCAGAATCAGCTGGATCAGCAATTACTGTCCAGCTGCTAGGGAGTGAGGGGCCAAGAGGCCACAACACACTCAAAGGTCCACCTGCCAAATCTCAGAGAACAGTTCAGGCAGCCCTTACATCCAGGCTTGTTCTGAGCAAACCAAACCGCAGTGCCTCTTGGGCAACAAACATCTCCCCAAAAATGGAGACTAAACCTCCTGTCTGACCTAATTCCTTCTTCAGTCTGGCCTTCATTGCAATTTAATATGAACAGAACAACGTAGGAGGGAATTGACAGATGGCCCAGTCTGTAAAATTTGGATTTGGACAGAAAAAAAAAAAAATCTCGCTTCTTTGTGGAGCACTGCAGCATTTAAAAGGGAGCACAGCAAAAAGTCACCAGCCCTAACCTAGCTGTGTGTGCCAGAGGGAAAACCCCAGTTTGCACATCCCAGCATCCTTCACACTCCACCTCTCCTCCAAAAAATAGTGAACAGACTGATGTTTTGCTACTCACATGATTGCCTGTGAGAGATGCTGAACATCTGCCTGTCTGCATTACTCCTCTCTGTGGACTGCCCCAGGAGAGTAGGGAGCTGACCCGGTTTTGAGCACAACAATCCTGAAGGGTCAGGATGCCAAACTCACATGTGCCAAGCGAATGCCACCCCTGCCCATGGGGCAACCCAACCTCACATGGGGTGCCAGGCCATGACGCCCTGAGGTACCAAACAGCAAAGGAACAGTGGAGACCAGTGGGAGAGGCAGGTGCCTTGGCAGCTGAAAAACACCTAGGAGCTGCATCTTGGGCAGAGGCACAAGGGTGGGGTGCCCAGCAGGACCTGAAGGGAGAGGAGCCACTTCATGCTGTGCCACAGAAAGGCCTCCCTCTTCATCTAAAAGAGAAATGAAGAGATTTCCACAGCCTGGAAGAAGCAAGTTTCAAAACACAAAACTTTGAACCACTAAGCTGTCAGATGAATAAAACCAACCTGGGACCAGTGGTTTTGTTGTTTAGCTCAAGCTTGAAGAAAAAAAAAACAACCTCACAATTCTTGGCACCTGGCTCGCATGACATTCATGTGGCTGAGGATGGCAATACTGCTGCTATTTTTAGCACTCACTTTTTTTGTCTTCATTGCTCATCCCCATCAGCAGCCCACTCTGCCCCACACCTGGGGTCACCTTTCTTCTTCCCATCCTGTGAGCCAGGAGAGCCACCTGTCTCCTCTGCCTGCGGGACAGAGGCTGAGGCAGGCAGGGGAGCGCTGCCCGCACCCCACGTCTATACATGTTACAGCGAGAACTACCATGACTGTGGAAAAATCAAGCTGAAAAAGGTGAATGGGGTATTCAGTACCATTTACTCACCCCACTGGGGAGTAAGAGTGTATTGCACAAATTTTGGTATGCAGCCCAGGAACATTTGATTTATTGTATAAAAAAAAGGAAACGCAATCTTGCTTAACGCTTCTAAAGACAGCTGGCAGGACCCAGTGAAGGGATTTAAGTCCGTTTTCGTAGCCTCATTTAACTCCTTTCTTTATTGTTCCTCTCTCCTTTCTGCATTCTCTTCCAGAACCTGGAGTATATCAGGGAAAGTTAACAGCAAGTTAAGCTGTTAAATCAGAAATCATGGTGACTGGAGTCTACTGGCAAGTGATATTCCCACAACACGTTGAACTTGCTTTATATCTTGGCAGAGCAACTTTAACCCTTTCAGAGCTGGGCTGCAATGCCAAGGCAGATTTCTTCCCCCTGTGCCCCCCACCTCTCCTGACCCCTCAGACAAACGTGCTTAGGGAGGCCGATATCACTTTGCCCCGCTAAGACACTCATCAGCTTTTAAAAGCAAAGACAATCCAAAGAAGGATCGGAGAGGTCAGTCCCAGGACACGAGCTCGGAGAGGGTGGGCCACTTACAGTGCTCGTATGCACTGCTGGAAACACACCAACTCCTCAGTCCCTCTAAAAATAAGACCTCACCTGCTGTGTTTGCTTTATTTAAAAAAAGAAAAGTACAGAAATGCTTTTCTCTGGTGCTCCATGAGGCAAGCTGGGCTCATGCTGAAGCCTATAGGAATCAAGGGGAAGACATGCACTGACAACTCCAGGTTGACTGCTCAAAGCAGCAGTCCTCCAGCCAGGCTGAAAAAAGATCACCTGTCAGAAAAAGCGCTGGGACACACACGCAGACACATTTTGGCTCTCAAATTTCATGCGGTGGTAGGAGGGGACCGGCGGTGTCAAATCTTTTATCCCTTAATGAATTTTCACAGGAGCTGGGATAGCCCCTTTTGAAAGGCTGAGTGAACTTGTGTGGGTGTCAACAACATGGAGCAAGATTTACAGCTCTGACCCATTCACCCCCACCAAAATTGTCAAGTTGGGTCCAAAACAGCGCAGTGGAGCTCAAATCAGAAGTGTCAGTCAGTTTTATACCTCCAGATGTCCTTAGCACAAAGTCACCCTCACAAAACCCCATGACCCAGGCTCCTCAACTCCACTCTAAATCAAGGCAAGAAACCCAAATAAAGAAACCCAACACGCTTCACCCTCCCCACCCCCTACACGCACAACCTGACAATAAGCAAACCCAAAGAAAAACGGGCCTCAGCCTCCCAAGCACATCCCGGCATTTGGAAGAAAACAACAGACTTTGTATAGGAAGACTGGGTTGAAAGTAGCGGCTCTCCCGAGGTGCCTGTTTAAAACCACCCACACAAACCTTGTTTTTACACTTGATTGCTCCACACCACCCGAGAGAGACCTGGCGTATCAGCAACCCTGCTGAAGTACCCGTGGCTGGAGGCGAGGCAGACACATCTGCTGGTACAGTTACGCTAAATCCGAGTTCCCTCATGTGCCCCAATTCCCTACTGCTCAGAGTGCTAAAACCTTTCCAAGTTGCGCTCTTAAAACAATTACTGCAGAGAAAACCAATTGGGAAGGAAGCAGAAGAAAAATAAAATTTAAGAAAGAAAAAAAAATCACAGAAAGTAGAAGGTTGCACGCCAACCATTAACTCTCACTCCATTTTGGCTTCGCTTTCTTGTTTTTCCTCTCTGTATTTTTATCCCTCCGAGACCGAACACACCGCAGTGTTTTGCAGACGAGAGTTTAATAATCTCTCCAGTCTCCGGAGCCGGGGAACTGCCCGTCCCCTCCCCGCGCGTCCCCCCGCTCCCACCGCCGCTCGGCGCGGAGGGAGCGCCACGGGCAGCCGGGGGCCGCGCAGCGCTGCGTGACCTCGCATAGCCCCGGCCCGGCCCCCGCACGGCCGCGGCCGCCCCTCCGCCGCTCCCCACGCGGGACCGCGCCGGCTCCGCGCCGCGCCAGGGCTGTCCCACCGCAGCATCCCCGCCGCCGGGTGCGGGCGGCCGCGGGAGGGACCCCCGGGGATGCCCCGCGCACCCCACCGCAGCGGGGCCGCCCCGCCAGCAGCGGCTGGGCCGGCGCTCGGGGTCCCTCTAGTGACACGCGTGGGGACGGCGGGCAGCGGGGCCGGCGCGGCTCTGCCCGGCGCGGCTCGGGATGGTTCAGTTGTGCCCGGGGCGGCGCGGCTCGGCACGGCATAGCACGGCGCGGCATGACACGGCTGTGCGCGGCTCGGCTCGGCATGGAACTGAGCGGCACGGCACGGCTCTGCCCGGCACGGCGCCGGGAATCCCACCGCCCTCTGCCCGCGGAGGAGCAGCGCGGAGCGGCGCTTACCTTGGCACTGCCGCTGCTACTCTCAACTTCTTGCGGCGGCGGCGGGCCGGGAAGGAAGGCGGGCTGCCGGCAGCGCTCATCCGTGTGTGCCCCGGCGCTTGACATGCTGCTCTCCTGCCCTGGCAGCGATCGCGGCTTTGGCTCGCCTTCCTCGGGCCCTGGCACGTTCTCCTCGCCTTGCCTTTTTGGTATGTCAAGTCCCTGCTGGATTTTTTCTGAAGGATGTTATTTTGTTACAATCAGGTATTTTGTTATTCTAGAGAAAGAGCGAGCGAGCGCTTTCCTTTCCTTTTCCTTTTTTTTTTTCCTGGGTTTTTTTTTCACCCTTTTTTTCTTCCCTTCTCTTTCTCTCCTCTTGCTTTGGCTGCCCCTTGAGTGGCTCTCACTTTTGTGTTTACTGAGTGCGTCCCCCTGGCCGGGGCGGAGGGGCCGGCTGCCTCACTGCCCGCTGCTCCCAGCTGGCTGCCCCACGAGCGAGGAGACAGGCAGGGCGCTTCGGCTGCCCCCCTTTTATACCCCCCCAATGGGCATGCTCTGCCGGCGAGCACCAGCCCGGCCACGCAGCCAATAATGTTGCAGAGCTGTCTAACCCCCTCTCTTCCCTCCCTCCCTCCCTTTCTTCCCTCCTTCTCCCTCGTAATCCTCCGGAGTCCAGCTCAGGGAGGGAAGAGGGGACAGAAAGTTTGTGCCGCACCGTTTTTTTGCGAGCTGCTACCCCGGGTGGGGGCTTTGAACCCCCGTGCCGGCCCCGGGTGGGAAGTGGGCTGCGGGAATCCCCCGGCTCCCCGCAGCCCCCCAGGTGAGGGGAGAAGGTGTGTGGTCCGCCCCCCAAGCCCCTGCCCAGAATACTGGGGGGCACCCCTTGAGCGCCTCTCGCTGCGAGGCGGCGAGCCCCATGCCCTGGCGGGGTAGGAGGGGAGAGATCGCCCAGCCCGTCCTCTTTCAGGTCTCCCGAGGTGCGCACGGGCACAGGTGTCCGCGCCGGCCGCCGAACTGCTCCGGAAAGCTCCCTGGCAAAGGCGCGGGCATTCCCGCACGGCTGCCCCGGCTCCCGTGCCTGCCCCGGAACTCCGTCCCGCCCTACGCGCCCCAGTGCGGGCAGGCGAGCCCCCGCCTCGGCAGCAGCGAGCCCCCGCACCCACCCGTGCGTGTCCGTGTGGACAACATGGGCGCTGCCTCTCCGCATTCGGATTTTGCACCTTCGCAGAGCACCTTCCCGCAGCGGTTCCCTCTCGCTAGGTCGCCTCTGCTTCCCGCCGGCTCCTGCAAGCGGGCACCGCTGCCTTTAAGGCTAAGGGACTTTTCCCAGGCTTTGCCGTGCGTGTGCAGCAGCGCGGGCAGAAGGCGCTCCCGCTGCTCCGCGCTGCTGCATGGCAGGCACACCGTGCTGCATCGGCCGGCACCCGCCTGCTCCCGAAGATCTGCCCTCCAAGCCTGTCCCAGGGGAAGGGACCCCGCTGGATTTCCAAGGGCAGCCCCCGGGTGCCCGCACCCTCACCGCTGCCCCGGTGGGTGCCCCTCTGCAGGGTCGCGCGTACCAGGATGCGCCACAGGCACGCACCCTCCTTGGCGCAGAGAGGAGCAGAGCTACCTGAGACCGGGCAGCAGGTTGGTCCACCTCAGGCAGCGTTTACCATAGATAGTGGTGCGAAAGGGCAAGGATGCAGCAGTCCTCACCACAGCATGCAATAAATACTCCTTGTCTTTTTTCTCTTTTTTTCAAGTTTGCACTTCCCCCCCCCCCAAGGATGGGGGCCTCAGTGCATCTCTGAACAGTTGGAATTACCCTAAACATGCCCGATAAAATGTGGGTAGGATTATTCTTTTATCCTTTCTCACTAGGCTTTGGACATCCTTTCCTCCCCAGCATCCTTCTCTTCCCTGAGCTGTCCTCTGCGATATGACGCTGCATATCACACCAAGCAGTCCTGGTATCAGGGCTGTGGGCTTCAACCAAAACGTCGGCACACCTGGGAGAGAGGGTGGTGATGCTGAGGAAGTGGTTCCATGCATGCCAAACTCAAACACAGGCATCAAATCTCAGCACCTACACTGATACTTAAACATCTAAATAAGTGACCTGACCATCAAAGAGACTGGGCATCTGCCGGCATGTGTCAGGGCTACAGATTTCTCCTAAAAAGGGTCATCTCTATCGATGCTTATCTTGGGCTTTTGGAGTTTCTCCTAGATGCCCAGGACTTAGTAAATTCCAGTTGTGGGTCCTCACAAACCGCTCAGCAGAGGTGGTCTTAACAAAGAGCAACCACCTTTCCTTACTGCAAAAGCAGAACCCCATCAAAGGAAAGGACCCAGCCTTGGCAGGGGGGTCAGCAGGGCTGTAAGCTACTGTTAATAGCTGAAGGAGCCCAGCTCCCTTCCCCCAGCTCACCACAAGGACCTCCTGAGAGTAGACAAAAGAAAGCTTGGAGGGTTAATCTCCCTGAGAAAAACAAGTGATTTTCCAGTAAACAACTGCAATAGCAAACAATGGGGGTGAAAAATAGCGATCATAAAAAAGTCGGCTTGGAGGAAGAGGCGACCCACTAAGAGAGGTGTCCTCCGGCTGGGGGAAAAACACGGCAGCAGTTTGGTGAAGATTCAGCAGCAGCAGCTACAGCAAAATAAACCCCACAAGTTGCCACTGGATCTACTTGTGTTTGTGCCTTTTGATCTTTTAATTGCTTCTTAGTTATCCTTCAGTGCAAATAAATAGTGCATTGTGTCAAGAAAGAGGAGGGGGGCGGGGAAGGGAAGAAAGAGACACAAAAGAAAGAGCTGTCGCCCAGAAGAGAAAAGGAACAGGTTCTTTACCCCCACCTTTAAAGGAGTGAATATATCTGTACTGGGGGGAGCGAGGGGGGAGAAGGGGGAAAAGGGGATAGGATTAGAAATCAAAGCGAAATTGGAGAGAAGCACATTAAGCCTCGGGCATCCTTACAGTAGGAAGAAAGAGCGAGGTGGTAAAACCCTTTGGGAGTTTATTCCGTGAGTTATGAGAGGATCCACGAGTGTAATATTGTTAAAGGTCAGCCTAAACCTAATTTAAACTAGGGATGTGTGACCTCCGCCCTTCATTTAATACAGTCATAAGGAACATTACACTGCAGATAGCTGGAACAATAGCTGCCTCCACCCCAAACTCCAGCCCTTGGCATTGCCTGCAAGGAGGGCCTGTGAAGGAGAGCAGAAGGAGGACCAGTAAAGCCAAGGATGTGGCAAACCTGAGGACAGAGAAGCAGAGAGGGATAGGAAGGCCTCTGGACCATAGCACAGACCACCAATGTCTTGCAAAAACACAGCATCCCAGGAAGTATTTTTGTTTTAAAGTGGATGGGACTGCAGCAAAGCATCATCTGAAAACGTTGAAAATGCAATAAAAATAAACCACTGCCTCTTGCATTTGTCTGACCTCCGTGGTCATCGGCACAGTTCAGGAGAGAAATCATGGTTCTGGGTTCCCATTAAATCCCTTGGAAGGAGCAAGGACAGTGTTCACAAAGCAAAGTCAGCCAAAGTGAGCTGAAACTAAGGGAATCTAAAGTGGGAGCTGAAATAAAAGCAGTACCTGAAAGGTGCCCTGAAAACACCAGGGAATGCCAGGGACTTGGAGAGAAAACCTTGCTGCTGCAGCAGCTGTGGAAGCATTGGGGCGGACTGCAAAGCCTCCTGACAGCGCTGCCCATCTGAGCTGATCAAAGCGTCTCGTGGGTGGCCACCAACACGTGGCGTTGGGCCGGAAACCTTTCCAGAGAAAGGGGGAAAAACAGGAAAACTTGGGCCAGCCTGGACCTTGCAAGCAGGGATGAGAGCTTCAGCAAAGACAGAGGAATGTAAATAGCTGCAGAAATGCAGTGGTCCTGGGCCAGGGTGGATGTTAGCGATGCTACCGAGGAGATGAGCCAAGCAGATACCTTCAGGGAAGGGGACATTTACATGACTTTTCCCTTCCTCTCCACCTATAATCCAAAGAGGGGAAAGGTCACCTAATCCCAGCGGAACCAAGGTACCCTGTGGTGTTCATTTGGTCTATTTCACAATTACACCACAAATGACAAGAATGGGGATTTGCCCAGATCTGGGCACTGCAGTTTGCGATGTCCAAGATGAGACAAAAGGAAGGTGAGGCTGGGCTGTGGGTTTGGGTCTCCTGTAATGATGACTAGAAGTAGTCATTCCTAGTTAGAATGGAGAGTTATTAGCCAGAGTCCTATACACAGCTCTTTAATGGCAGAGGAATAACCATACTTGGCCCAGAGCATCCTTCAGTAGCTTTAAGAAAGCGATACTTTTTGCTTTGTACAACCCAGGAACCTGACAATAACACCGTGTCCTTGCATGCTAAGATATATTGATCTTGGGGCACACTAAACTGTTGGAACAAGAAAGATTCATTGGCAAAAGGGTATGTGATATATGGAAGGTCCCTGAATAAAATTGAAGTCAAAGAACTAAGAGTGGGAGAAATAATTCACCTGGGGCCCCTGATCAACAAGAAGCAAACAAGAGCAGAGGCTGGGCAGATCTGTTTAGAACTCCTGGCACTCCTGGGTGGAGAGAACATTTTGAGGCTGTGCTCCCAGCCCAGAAGTTTTCTGCTGCAGGATTGTTATATGGGCAGGAAAAAATGGGGTTGCCCTTAGGCAGGGAACCTTTTTTTGGCATGTTCAGAGAGAAAGAGGGACTCCTATATCAACTCCTGCCCAGGTCTACTGATGCCTTGGAGCACTTGTTGGACTTAAGGTTCAGGAGAGGTGTTGGCATATGGATCCTAAGGACCTGGAGGACGCTGAGCAAAGCAAAAATAAAATTATTGCACGGTAAGTTATTTCACTGTGCCAGAGGAGTTTGTGACAGTGGTAAAAGGCACAAGTGTAGTGTTTTCACCTCTGTTTATATGGAGGACAAACTATGCATTTTTTTATGGGCTGGACAGACTTGGTATTCTGGTAATGTCTTTTAAAATTATATATCCCCAATGATTAGAGAAAAGCTCCAGTCTGAGCAGTTTCACATGGCTCAAGAGGCTGCCGGAAGGAGGATGTGGGATAGGGAGATGCCACTGTGGCCAAGTGTGAGGGAGGAATTGAAAAAGTACAAATGCTGTTCAGCAAGTGAAGCTCAGTGGGTCTGCGTGTTGAGATGCTGTCTGCAGCATGGCCCAAAAGAAGGAGGCCGAGGGGTCCCAGGGTCAGATGATCCCAGAAATGGAGAAAAGTTTCTCCTATCTCCCCATCATCTGCAGAAAAGCGACCATCTCTTGGTCATCCCTGGTTGCCAAAGAGGACTCCAGCTCAGCTAATGGCTTCCCAAAAAGGAGTTTCCAAGAAGGGTGGAACAGGGCAGATAAGGAGAAATGCCTGCCCTCTCCCCAGTTTCTTTTCATTGCAAAGGGAGCCCAGAAGGCTCCAAGTTTTGTCTGGTTATTTGTATCAAAAATGTGCACCAAATACAGTAGCAGAGAAGAAGATGGGTCTGT